AATTCAGTGCTAAAATCATAACTTGTAAATCATGTCATCATACTAGTTGTTTTTATCCCAAAAGTTAGCTAATATAAAAAAATCCAAAAATATATAAATACATTGTTGACCAACAATGATATTGTGATTTGGGAAGATAATTTCACATTTCTACATTCATACATACAACATGAAAGTGATCACAGAGATACCGGAGAACATGTTTCCTGAGTATATATGGTGGTGTTTGCAGAAAACAGGAGGACATCATCACTACAGGATCCATCACCATACTGTCCATCACCGCAGAGCTTCTTACCATTCTTCATATATCTGTGTTGGACAGAATGTAAATACTGAGGCTGAATGACCTTTGTACAAGCACGCACACTTCTTAGCAGTTGCTGGCCAAAGTTGGTTTTGATTGTTCTTGCTGAGGCCAAGAATTCTCTTTATTGACTCAACAACTGGAACCATTTCATTCTGTCCTTCCATCCCAATTAATATTTCAGCCTAAGTTTATATCTTAGCATTTTTAGTGGCCATTTCAATTAAAAACGGCCAATATTGATATGGTATAAAACTGTCTGCTGCACAAAATATTCAGGCTTTTGACTGAATTATAACCCAGCCTCTTAGTCTCTGCAGTGTCAGCTTATCTGCATGCCATACAGTTTATTATTTAATTTTTCCTTTAACACTTTACTGCAACAGTGAATTGGCTTAATTGACTTCATTTAAGGAAATGAGGCTTGGGGTGAAGAGGATGATAATGTTTTTATCCTGATAGAGATGTATATACTGCTAACAACAACTTGCTGTTTATTTCCAAGATGATAGCTTCACATTAGAGCTCTGAAACTTTAAACTGGATCCATTTAAACATCAAATATTTCAGTCCCCGAGCCTAATGAAGAGGACATGGAAATTACTTTAGTTTGTCAGCAGCTTCAGTTCTTGTAGCTTAAGAGACTCTGCAACAGATTAGAATACAGCATGTAAACAATGCAGCACTTCATTTGGTGGTATTATGTACCAATACAAAATTAAAAAAGGGGAATTGACACAAGAGGATGGGACAAAACAAATGTGTCTGTGTCCTGGTTTACCAAACACACCAGTGCTGAAGTAATTTCCAGTCAGTTCAAGAACAATGCAGAGCTTTATTGAGAATTTCCAGGGAATGTAATCATAGAGACCGGGAAAGAAACAAAGCAAAAAAGAAAATACAAATTAGGTTCTCAGTTAGTTTCTATGTGGGAGGTCTATGGTCTAAATATACTCCCATGAAGCACACACAGTTACTTTGTAACAAATAGAGTTGTTACTTATATTGGATTTTATAAATGGATGTTATAAAATGGAGAAACTTTTAGAATTATGTTTGTTAAAGTAAAATATAAGGTATCCCACATGAACCAAATCGTAGGTCTCCATGTTGAACCTCCAACTACTGAGAAAAAGAATACACTTTGATTACACCTAAAATGTTGAACTGTATTTTTCACACATTGAAGTTTATGTCATAGAATTGGATATTGACCTTTTTGTGTGGGGTCTGTTTTTTTTTACATTTGCTTTTAGTAATTTGATCAGTTTACCATCATGTTACCCTGTAATGAAAGAAAGGTTGACTCAGACTAACAAAACGATGGTCCGATCATCAAAAAAGATCAAACTCTCTGGAGCAGAAACTGCTGAAACTGCTGACTCTTACCTGATATTTAACTGCAAAAGTGCGAGGTAAACCCATACCCATGTTCCTCTCTCTGAACTCTTATTTTAACAAAAGCTTTATTGTTTTGAATGTGTTGGTTTTCTTTGTACCCAAGAGCTCTTTGGTTTTTGTATTTTTCCTCCTCTTGGGTATTTGCATGACCCTTTTTTGTATGCAACCTGTGTGAGCTGTTTATCATGGACCCGAATGCAAATAACTGTAGGGAGGAGTACACTCATTAAGTGAGTATTTAGTTCAGAGCTCCACAAACACAGAAAATTCCGGAAGAGAATCCAAAAAACCCCCGGAAAAAAACAAGAAATCACCAGGAAATACACATAGTCAGGGTTATGTCACAACGCTCCAAAGGACGACAAAACAAGAGAATAACTGGAGACTAAGACAACACACATCCATGCACCCCGTATGTGTCTGTAGGTCAAATTGGTTCAAAAGTTTGCTGGAAAAAGGAAGGCAGTGACAGATTTCACAAGTGATGAGAGAAAAGATAAGTAGCGTTGTACATGTTTTCATTTACAAAAAAAAAAAAAAAAAAAACATACAAGAAAACATTTCATCTTTTGAGCAACTTTACATATACTGATTTGAACCAACAGTAAAACAGATAAAATGATCGTCTCCGATGTGGTTTTAGTATCAGGGTTACAATTAGGTTGTGGTTAGGTTGTGCCCAAGGGTTAGGGTTAGGTATTCATTTTTGATTGTTAGATGTCCTCACTAAGATATAAAAACAAGTGTGTGTGTGTGTGTTATTTATTTACTTATATGAAGCAGCATTCAATTATAAATAACAAAAAACGAAAATATTCCTCTAAATATGTTCACAAATGATACATTTATATTCCTGTCAACTGACATTTTGAACTGCAAAAGCACGAGATAAACCCTTGTCAGATCTCTCTCTAAACAACACAATGCATCTTTATTTAATAAAAGATTTTATCTTTTATACAGGAAGGAGAAAATAGATAAGTTGGAATGTGTTTTTTTTGTTATTATTGGTTTTGTTTTTGCTTGGAAGCTGCTTATTGTTGACCCAGATGAAAAAACACAGGAGGCTGGAGTAAACTCAAAGCAATCATTTATGCTGATTAGTAAAAAAAATTCCAGAACACGGGGAAATCAGCAAGGACCCCCCCGTAAAAAAATTAATAATAATAATAAAAAATTACATGAATACATGAGAATGAGGGGATACGATAACAGGTGCACAGCTGGAGATAATATACCTAATGAGATGGGGGAACTCAACAGAAGAGCATTGCGCCTTCTCGCAGGATCTTTTTCTGGGCAGTTGTGTAACCACTACAATATGGCGCATTTGTAAAGACTAATAAACGTAATAATATGTAAATGTAAAAAAGAAGTGAAGAAAGAAAAGATAACTAAACATCTTTTAACTTACATTTTCTTTGTGAATTATAACTATAAACTATATTATCATCATTAGTATTAGGATTAGTATTATGGAATATACTACTTATTCCTTCTTTGTTAACTCGTGATTTTTGGACAGGCTGCTTTCAGCATTGTCAGGGTCGGTGGTTGGCTAGGTTTATTCTGCAAAGCTAATTGATTTGGTTTTGGACATTTTAAGATCTACTTGTATGCATTTGATGTCTGAAGTATGGCATGCAATTGTCACGGCTGGCGGGGTGAGCCGTGTGGTGTGGAGGAAAAGGAGGACCCAAAATGCAGACAGCCGATATGGTGATATGAGTGAGGGTTTTATTTACAGTGCACAAATAACAGAACTGAGGGCAGGACAGAACATAAACCTAAACTGGGTGAGCTAAATAACAAACCGGAGATCATACGAACGGGGTGGGAGGCAGAGAGACGCAGACAAGGAACAGGACACCATGAAACACAGACGAGCCGACCACGAGCACAGACCGACACCCACTATATACACACACACAAGGTAATCAGGTAATCACACACAGGAGGGAAGAACAGCTGATCCTAATACACAAAGACAACTGGAGGATACAAGCTGAACACAGTGACAACAGACTCAGACCTTCAAAATAAAAACAGGAAATCCAGAACACGAGCCTTCAAAGTAAAGCAGGGAACACACAGACTGATTTACAACACAACACGGGGACATGAACAGAGCACCAAGGACAGACACAGGTAGGGCTGAATAAAGGAAACACAAAACGCTGGGTCAAAATGACCCAGGACCATGACAGCAATAGGGGATGATAACAGTTAAAGATGATTATAATGATGATTTAAACAAGATTAAAGACTATGGAGATTATACTATAATTTATGGTAAAATTATACGTATATCACTTAATACTAGGTGCTTTGTTTTGAATGTTTACCTGATTCCATGTCAACAAACATTGCATTCTATACAAACATGTTTTGCAGCTCTGGGTGAGGACCAGCTGTAATCAGCACACAGCTGATGTGAGAAAAGATGTCATCATAAAACCACCAAATACCTACAGTTTGCTGTGACAAACACAGAGTACCACAGCACCTTCATCACTGAGCAGTTTCTGCAGTGATATCTGATAACTCAGGCAGCTTTTGGAGAATTCTGAACTTCTCCATTAAATATTTAGCACTTTTTTGGCAAAGAGTGAACAAATGATTAGAAGTAAAGGCATACATGAGCGGATTCACGGCACCGTTTACAAATGTTACAGAGGCAAACGCATTCCAGGTGTCCTCACAAAACTTCATCACGGGCTTGTTATGTAGGGAAACAGCTGCTATCTCCACAATATTCATGGCACGATATGGCACACGTAGAACAAAAACAGTCACAACAATGCTGATAATCAG